ATTGAGATTTGTGCTTTAGAGTATTTGGTTTCCATTTTACTATAAAGTGAGTCATTATAACACTAAAATCTATTGTATTGATTATTGTAATGTGATGATAATATTGCATCTGTTACGACTTATCAAATAATTATGTGGGATTCCCCACAGGTACGCCTACTAACTTCGTCCTCTATCTTTTGAATTATATAAACATTTGTATTTATGTTTTGAAAGATGGTAGTCTACACAGCAAAGTTGAAATTATTATCTTAGATCGAGCATAGTAACAGTTTTCGCGCCAGTAATATTATGACCAGAGCCCGATTTTTATGAAGTAAAAAAAAGTTAAACAATGCCAAATGAATATGAAATTTGTTAAAACACTATTTCCTAGAAACTCTAGAAGTTTACTCCTAGAATACTAAAAACGTCAGTCAGGATTCTTAAGAAAAAAAATTCTTCTTAAACACAGATCTGACATAATTAGTAATAATTAAAAACACAATGTAAGATATTTATTAACCCTTTAACGACGGTGGACTCGCATATGAGTCGAGAGCCTGTCGGGCTCTTCTCTTGAAATTGCGACGTGCTCAGTGATGCAACTCTATTTTCAAATTATCTCGCGACTTTTCTATGAGACATTAGGTAATTTTTTGTTTGGATAATACGAGAATTTTTTTTATGACATCAGCAGCTAACTCTTGCGACCCATACCTGACAGGCCCTTGTCCCTTTTTATACCTGTATTTGTATCTTCAACAGATCTATACCATCTTGAGTAGACATTTAAAATGCAAAATCCAATAAGATCTTTTTTTATCTATTTTGCGATTTTGCTCTAAAACAAATCATCTCCTTAGAGACAGATTGTAATGTTTTTCAATAAACAAGTTAAAATAAAAAACAAATCTATTTTGTAATTTTCGATAAAAAAGATCTATTCTTGAGTCTTCCTTGAGTTGATTATATAACCAATTTACGCCAAACTAAATATCTAATTATATAAATTTAACGAAGGTATCAGCATCGAACCTTTTGGTAAGCAAAGTCTTTTATTTTTATTATTATTATCATCAGTATAATGAAGAAAAATTAAAATTCTCTTGAAATAGCTTTGTCAAGAAAACATTAGTAAATAATATCATAGACGAAAAAACAAAACATTTGTGTATTGAGAGAGGAAGTGGTTAATTCCCTCCTTTGATTCCAACAAAGATTTCCTGTTTACGGACGGCGATTCATTTGATTATCTTATTTATTGCTTCATAGCTTGCAAGAATACATAACGTGGACAATTCTCTTTGTTTACATTCTGAAATAAAGGAATAAGATTCCTACTAATTATTAAATCTCCGACAACCTATGTTAAATTATATCCCCATCGGTCGCTGTTGACTTATTTCTTAATTTTCGGACATATTATATATCCTTCTTATTATAAATATATAATTATAAGTCTTATAGGTGATAAATATTCAGGACGCAGTCATTATAAATTTGTTTTATTTGTGCCGAGGCTTCAACCCAAACATGTAGGTCATCATTAGGGCGTGGTTGGAGCACTGGATGATTGACCCACATGTTTTGTTTGAAACGTCGGCACAAATAAAAAATTTTTAAGACTGCGTCCTGAATATGTATCACCCATGATATGTAGAACAGTCGAATAGCTTCCTTCAATAATTCTATAAGTCTTATAATTATATATTTCAGAAATATAAAAATATATTTATTTTTCTGATAAAATAACAAATAATATTATTTGAATATTTAATTTTATGCTAATATTATTTAATTTTAATTTGTTTTTCATTCGAATAAATTTATTTATTCCACAGTTGTTGGATTTGTGTAGGATAACTGTTCGTAGGATTTGTTTTTTGTTAGTTGCTTTTCAGCTATGTCAAAAGAAGTCAAAGTGAGCCTGGTAAATTAGTATTTTCACAACACACACACAATCATAACTATAACTTTTGTTAAATAAAAATATGTCACTATTTAAAAACTGATTTAATCACTGTCTGATATCACTGTCTAATTTATCTATCACTGTCTGATATCACTGTCTGATATCACTGTCTGATTTAATCACTGTCTGATATCACTATCTATCTTGACAATGTCGTTAAAGTATTTATATTCAAGTAAATTTGGTTGAACTTAGCTATGTCTAGGTCAAAGGATAGGCTCCAATGTATCTATTCTTTTGTGTCGTTCTAAGACATAAATTAACGTGTTTGATAAATAGCAATAGGCTAATACGTAATTGCAAGACCTGCAAGACTTGCGAGACTCATGCTGCAAGACCAAGACAAGACCAAGACCAAGACCAAGACCAAGACCAAGACCAGGTGTGAACACTGCAAGACCAAGACCAAGACTGGCCAAGTCTTGCGTTGTTCTTGCATTTGGGCAACACTAGACATTCCGGCAGAGCAGCACTACAAATATGAAAAAACATAAAACGAGTGAGTGCGGTAGCATGCTATTTTTTATTTGCTTTTATTATTATATTTTGTATACTTTATATATGATTCAATTTGTAAACATGTGTTATATATTTAAGTAGGGAGACGTTTTATTTTTTATTCATTAAACTATCGAGTGTTTTACTCCATTTAAGTTCCAGCACACAAATTAACAATTCAATAATATTTAATTTAAAATTAATTCATAAGCCTTATTATATATAGTTTAAAGTAAAAATTGTTGTTAAATTTATGTGAAATCCCACTATTTATTTTAACATTAAAATCATGTCATTCGTATATTAGTGATTTTGAAATTATTAGGTAGGACTTGAGGGGAATAAAATATTTTATGTAATTTTGAAAGTAAAACGATTTAATTTTTTTTACGAAATAATATCACTTGTTAAATAACTTAAAACTAATTATCTTTATTATCCCGGCTTATTATGGTTTGTATTTTAATCGGTAATAATTTACGAGATCTTGATACCAATATCTATATTGCTCACAACCGTTTTAAAAACATGGTATTTCCTTCAAGATGTTGAAGGAATACCTCAATGAGTTGTCCTTCAAAAATATATACATCTCACTATATACAACAATATTTAAATTTGCGTTAAATATTATTAGTTTTCAAAAATTATTATTTATATATTTTTTTGCCACTCTCCGTTACCTTCTACAACTTTCTATATTAGATATTGGCTTTTCAAGGATACATTATACGTATATCTTCTGACTAGTATTTTCTGAGATTCATTTTCGATCTGAATAAGCATTTTTATTTTTTTCTTGTTTATGCAATTATCAAATTCTTTCAAAACTTATATTTAGCATTTTTTCGTAACTCTTAATATTGAGAGATAGTTAATATTCAAAATAAACCATATTAAAGGTACTTTAGAGGAAGACGCATATGAACATTGCACATTTAAACCTTGTAAAGTGACATCAACGGGGATAAGACCAAAATGATATTAAAGACCACTCAATTATACAATGATACGCCGAGTTTAATTAAAATCGTTAGAGTCGTTTTTGATAAAATTGTAAAAATGTGTTTCAGCGTTGTTATACAGTGGCACTTCCGGTTAGCCGATTTTAAGGAAAAACTTGCTGTCACATCTAAGGCTATATCTATCTTAAATGCTTAATATCAGTTTCGTTTTGAGACTGCTAACATACAAACACACAGAACATTTTTCGGAACTTGGTTATTTGGACTTAGGGTACCCTCAAAACAAGTATTAACTCAGCTTAAAAGAATTTCACGATCGCAATACTTATCCTTAATATATATATTACATATATACGTAAGTGAAATGAATTAATATTAATAGAAGAGAAGTTAAAGATTATAGTTTAAATATTAAAAATTACAATATGAAAAGTTTACAAAAACCATTGAAATTAAATATTAAAGATTAAAAGTATTCCTTTCTCTCAGATAGATTTTTCTCCGTTCGACATGGCCAAGGTCTATCCTCAATTCGATCAGTTTTAGCTGGTGTACCTCAGGGATCAATCCTAGCCCCACTACTGTACATCACATACACACACGACATTCCTCAAAGTATCCACACTCTTACAGCAACCTACGCAGACGACACTGCTATCATCACCAGGCACGACAATCCTACAGAGGCATCACTTAACTTACAACATCACTTACAAATTATACTCGATTGGTGTAAACTTTGGAAAACTAAAATAAATTATCACAAGTCACAGTACATCACATTTACTCTAAGACCAGAAACATGCCCTCCTGTATACTTAGACAACATACCGATTCCACAAACAGACAGAGTACAATACCTAGGCCTTACGTTCGATAGGAGAATGACATGGGGTCCACATGTGAAGAAAAACGAATCACATTAAATCTAAGACTAAAATTGTTACATACACTGTTAAGACGACCTTCCAAATTAAAAGCAAGACAGAAACTAAGTATTTACACGTATCTCTTAAAACCTCTTTGGACTTACGGACTACAAATATACGGAATTGCAAAACCAACTCACATAAATAAACTTCAAACTTTTCAGTCTAAGATACTACGACTAATCACTCAAGCACCATGGTACCTAAACAATCACACTTTACACACCGACCTACACGTTCCGACAGTCAATGAACACATACGAACGTACTACAAACGATTTCATAACATGTTAAACGGGCACTCCAACCAGCTGGTAAAAGAAATGGCCACAACTAGTATGCCCGAGAACTCCAGAAGACGACTGAAAAGGGTCTGGATGAGGGATCTGCTTAAATAATGTTAGTAAATAAAAGCCATGGAAGGGATACCGCTGGGTATTGCTATTCCTCATGCCTATCAAGCCTTTTTTATTTATTTTTTTTTCTCATTAGTAAGCCAGCACATCTGCTGATTGTCAATAATAATAGACAGGTGCGGATAAATAAATGTAAGTGCAAAAAAAAAAATATTAAAAGTGATAAGTTAATAAAGACATTTAAATCAAAGATTAATGAAAATATTTGCCAACAGCCTTAGTACGTTGAACACACCGTTTATCGTCCAGTACGTGGATTTGCAAACATACTGACTAGGAAGTCAGCAAGACCCTCCACAGTTCCTTGCATTGGGGAAGTGTATTCATACGTTTTCCAGGCGTTGTACTACAGAATTGACGTATACATGGCACGTTTTCCAATCTTTAAATTTCTCATACATCATTTCTAATTGTCCCTTGATAATTAATAAAAAAATATATTTAGACTTTATAAAAGTATCAAATAAAATAATAAATTGAAGGCACTATTCATTACATACCAGAGGTTCTCAAAAATGCATTATTTTGAAAATAAAATAATAATAAAAACTCTCAGTTGTTTATTATCAAGTTATACTCAATCACTAATCATATTTTACAACCTAATCTTTGTTTATTCATTTAGAATATCAGAGCTCAGACAGGCAAATTAGAGAACTTGGGGCTGTTCTGCTAATATATTTAAAGTGCATCGAGAATAATTGGTATACAATCATGGTGAGCTTTTTTTACTGATATCAGAACTAAGATATTATGAGGGTTAGAATAGTTCAAATAAAGTATATAATATGTTTTTAACATCTTTATATTTATTTTAGTGTAACACCTATATGTTTTTACTTTTTTTTAAAATTTCGAATTCAAATAAAATTAATTTTATTCGTACGACATTAACATTATAAGAGTTTATGTTTTCAACTTTGTTGTCATTTGAGGTGGACAATAGAAATACAAAATAATATTACATAATTTGGGAATTGGAAGATGTCACAATATTACCAACCAAACTAAGATAAATTTATACCTTCATTGTGAACAAAGAGTTTATTAAAAAATATAATACAAAACGAGTTATATAATATAATAAAGAAAATATTTATATATAATTTATTTTTATTTCTATTTGCCTCTACCCTAGAGGGGTAATACATAATATAGAAAATATATTATCACAGATCATCATTGATTTTTTTTAAAGATTAAATTTACAAATAATTTAACTAAAATAGATTTAAATTTAGTATATATAATTTAAAAAGAATTCTTCTTAATTTTTCATGTATCTATTCTTGAATTTATATATTCTGCGGGATGGAGTGGTGAATGTAGGAACAACTGCTGATACTCATTTCCTGCTGGTAGCTCCAACTGCAAATAAAAGAAAAGTGTAAAATTTAATCAAACATTCTATATAAAATAAAAACTATATCATTTTATTTTTGGAAATAATACTGTATACAAATTTAAAAGCTACCATTCATTAAGTGTTAAAACCAAACCAGTAAAAATCAAGCTATTTGGTTGCGAATGGTTTGACAATATTTTTTTTTTTTTGGATTTCAAGATTGCCAAGCATATTTTATGTATAGAGTGTTTCAGAGTTATGAGACCTGAATGAAAATATAAAAAAGGATCTCAAAAATTCCTATGAAGGTATAACCGTTAACACTTTGTTTAAGAGATATATAGTATAAAATACTTGCATGGCCTTATTGTCTTCACTCTACATAAAATATTGACATTTTAAGGATTAATACTGTTTGGAATTAGCAATAGGAACTCCTAATATCAATTATTATACTAATGGTGAATGTGCAGTTTTGTCAGCTTTGGTTTTTTTTTTTTTTGTTTTGGGTGAAATTAAACAAAAAGTATGCAATTCCGGTCAATGACCTAAAACCGTTAAGAAGAAGAGTAATTGAACCTTGTGAAACACTTGCTGTGGAAGAAAGATACCAATTTTAGTGCTCAAGATTATTGAAATTAACAACATTTAATATGAAAGTTGGCGTTTACATTTCATTGCCAAAGTAGCTGGAACACATTTAAATTTATTTATTATAAGCTACTCAAATAATTCGTATTAATGAAAATCTTTATACATGAATATCCACTAAAAAAAAAACGCTAACGGAAATACCTCTAAAGTATTTGTTTCTAGTTTTGAGATTCTTAATCCATATTTTCAGTTAGGACATTTAATCCTGAAACACCCTGTATATAATTATATATAAATCGTCTCGAAGTGAGGAAGTTTATTTCAACTAAGCAACTATTATGAGAAATAAGTTTCATATTTCGATTGGCATAAAAATTCATTTATAAGGGTTTTCATGATGTACAAAAAATGAATTTAATATTTGATTCTTTTTTTTTTTTTAATTACTTTAGATAACGGGTAGTACTTAGCATACGAAATATATAATCTTTGTTACGCCCTTAACCTAAAAAAAAAAAAAATGTAATCCCACATTGCAACTTCGAGTTAGTCCAATTATTTTAATATTGTACTCATAATGTATCTATCTATCAAAGATAGTATTTTTCCTAGTCATAATAATTCATTTAATATATTCTACTTATATAATTCGTAGAAATGGGAATCTTTATACGTGAATATCCCCTAAAAAAAGCGTTAACAATAATATTTTTAAAAGAATTTTTTATCTAGTTTTGAGATCCTTAATCCATATTTTTAGTTAGGACAATTAATTCTGAAACACGCTCTAAATAATTATACATTAATCGCCTTCAAATGACCAAGCAAATATTGTGAGAAATAAGTTTTGTTTTTCGATTGGTATAAAACTTCGTATATGAGGGTTATTTGATATACGAAAAAATACCCCCCGGCCTGGAAAAATCCCGTATAGTCTAAAAGGTGAGGTAGGGAAGAACATAAAAAAAAAATCTATACCAATCGATGATTTTGAAAGATAATTCTTTTACTTATATTTTGAGTAAAATTAGATTATTTTATAAATAAATATTTTTCAAGTCGTACTGGGACGTTTGAGAATAAATCCATAGCACTTAATATGCTAAGAGAGTATAAACTCCCAAGAATAAATAAATTATAGTTATATTAATAGTTGAAAATATTAAAAAAACATGTCAAGATTAATAATTTTATTTAGAAATATTGTCGTTCGCCTTGCATTACTTGTATGTTTTTAACACAAAATAATTAAAGACTTACCATTATCGAGTCCATTCCACTGGTCCATTTGGTTGAAGGTTGCTTCTTTGGGAGGGATGCTTCAGAATTTTCACCAAACCCTGAGTCCATTGAGAAACTGAAAAAAAAAATTGATATTATTATAGTTTAATTTTTTATCTGAATTTGTCTTTATTCCTTTGAGATGAAAGTTCATACAGTTCAACACTTACACAATGATATATTCAAAGATGTTATATTAACATTAGGGACAAGCAACTCAGTTGTTGCTATTTAATTTCCATTATATTAAAAAAAAAGATTATTTTGTACTTACTTTCTATTTCGTTCACCCAGAATGCGAGCGAGAATTCTGGATGTCCTGACCGCATAATTTGTAAGCGTTCTGAAAATGACGTGATTAATTATCATCTCTTAAATGGAACTGTTTATAATCAAATGATAAATATTGAAACAATTTTTAATGTAAGAACTTATATATTTAAATTGTAATTATTGATATTTTAAGATGTAAAATTAAAAAAAAAAAAACAAAAAAAAAACAGGAGCACGTAGAACAAAATTCATAAATTTAAATGGCCATGTCTCCAAATTCGTTAGGAAATAGATTTAACTTTATAGAATATATAGGCATACAACCAAATCTTCTGCATTATTCAATTCATGCAATCATCGTAAACATTTCGGAGTTATGAATCTTATCTCGTGAACCATACGCTTGTCACTGCTTGGGTAAAGATGAAAGTATTTGTCTGTGGTACAGATCGCTTTTTTATCAAATTATTATCATCCGGCTGAAACTTCGTAGATAGCTTCATCTCATCCTAACCTACAAATATTTTATTTACAAAAATTCTCGGAATTGGGGCGTTTTCAATCTGAAGGTCGGCAAACTACTAAAAGTACGAAAAACTTCACTTGTTTTCCACTTTGATCGTAAGATAATTTAATAAAAAAATCGATAAAAAAAGCTGACCTACAAAAATATTGGGCCGTATGGCCTATATAACCTCGTTATTTTGACAATTCATATTTTTGAAGACCACCTTTTTTCTGGACTTTGTTCTTAATTTATCTTACGATTCAATTAGAAAGCAAAAAGGTATTTTCGAGTTTTTAATACCTAATTAAATAGACAAAGTTTGCCAGACTGAAAAAGTCCCAATTCCGAGAATTTTCGTAAATAATATATTTGTAGGCTACGGTAAAATTACGAAAAAAACTCAATCGATTAAAAATTAAATTTAAAGAAAATAGTATGGTTCTAAAGATGGAGAAACGTAAATTATGATTGTATGTTTTAAATTATAAGAATGCCTAAACCTTCAATAAAATTTGGTACCATGTTTATATTTAATATTAAGTTGATCCCTCTAGAAACGTTTTGCAAGAAATAAAATTATTTTCGTAATTTTATTACAATATTAATTTTTAATGAAACACGTTTGCTAATCGTTCTATCATTTTAAAATTTAAACTGTACTTTTTGGAAAATCAAATGAATAAATATTAAAAAAAATTCAAATTTGAATGAAATTCTTTTTTAATGTGTCTTCCATTGAATAAATGTTAATGATTAATAAAACAAGTAAAATTATTCTTACGAGTGGATATCCCAGAGGAAGGGCATGTTCTTCAAGTTTTCTTCTGCTCGGTACAACACAAGATTCCGTTTAATAGCCTTATCGATTAGATCAATTGATCTCCTGACGCCTTGAGTACAACTTTCATTAAGTATAATATGTTCTTTTACTAAAATAAAACAAAATTAATATCAGACACATTGAATATAAATATATTTGGCAATATTAAAATGCCACATTGTAACATTTTATTGATGAAAAATAAATCAAAGCAGAGATTTATATGAAAAAAAAAAGTCATATAATACGTCTTGAAAGATTACACGCAGAATAATATGGTTTAAAAAATATGTTAATACTCAACATCTATGCTACTAAATAAGAAAATATGATAGTAAAGAAAGAATATTGAGCCATAAAAGTATCATATAAATGATTTTTATATTATTTTAAAAATAATTATAACTTCTAATAGTGCCTTTTCTAATGGGATTCTTAAGTTGGGTTTGGTTTAATTTTTCTTAATTAAATTATAAATTTAATTCATAATATTGCATACTTTTTTTTTTAGAAAAGATTATATATTGTACATATAATTTTGTTAGGAAGGACATATAATTTTAATAGTGAAATTATCAAAAAAATAAAATAAAATTATCACGATTTTTATTATATTTTAGAAAAGATTTATGGAATTGGATAAATTTTTAATATAAATAGCCTCGTGTGGAAAATAATTACTAGGAAATTTTCGAATTATAATGAGGGGAAGTGGTCTAGTTCAAATTATATAACACTCTCTCTCTCCCTCTTGTCATGGAAAGGATTTAGAACTGTTTTTGGATTTACTGAAGTTAGCAGCAGTAGAGTTCGATGGTCAAAAAATCGAAAGTCAAGTATAAATATATATAAATATATTTTAACTCTTATAAATTTAAAATCTTACTCACTTTTTTGTATGGTGTGCACTACTAAAATAGGTAGAGAGTCTTCTTCGGATGTTGGAAATGGAGTGTATATCACTTTCTGTATATACGACAGTTCGTTCTCTAGTGAATTCCCAGACGATCCTAGGTCCTGGATTATATTCTTCAGCCTGAATCTCCTCTCTCTCAGTTCTTCGATGCTGCGTAGTAACTTCCCCTGGGCCCCGTGAGTGATCTCAGTGCCTCCGACAAATTTTATATTGTATTCCATGTTTTCCTTTGTCAAAGCCAACATTTGCCAATATGACCAGTGGGATATGAGTGGCCAATATTTGTGGAGCTTTATAGATTTGAGCCATTCCTTTGTCCCTGGAAACAATGTCAATTATTCACTGCTTGTATGTAATCCATAATTATAAAAAAATGCATTTTGTTTTTGACAATTTTATCAAGAATCTGAATAATTGAAGGGAGTTAGTCGACTGTTCTGCATATCATGGGTGATAAATATTCAAGACGCAGTCTTTTTGTAAAAAAAAAAAAATATTTTTTATTTTTACCAACGATTACAGTACTTGAACACCCTCAGTGCTCAAACCACGCCCTGAAGATGATCCACATGTTTGGGTTGAAACGTTGGCATAAATAAAAAAAATGTTTTTTTAAAAAGGACTGCGTCCGGAATATTTATCACCCAAGAATCTGAATAGTGTTTTGAATTGCGAATAGATAGAGTAACATAGCTACAATACCAGTATCTGAGAATTTTCAAAATTATAAAACCTTACCAATCGCTCCTAGCTGAGACTCCTTCGCTCGTAGTCCTTGTCCGTAACATGGAACGAATCCAGGAGGATTTACAATAGCACTTTTTTCGTAAGACATCTCTGACAAAAAGTTTAAAATAGGTAAATTTTGTTAAAAACTGGTTATTGACACGTAAAACGAATGCACTTAATAAAAATCTTTCGACCAAATAATTAAAAATCAACGAAATTCGTTTGAGGATACCAATACGGAAGTGTGTTACTCCTAGAAATAAAGTAGAAATATAATATAAGGGAAAACTTCAGGAACCCTTAAATAGTGTGTAGGTAATAAATACCCCTACTTCACTACTGGGGAATTTTACCACCCTCTCCAGCCATTCAAGTATTTTGGTAAATACCCAGGAATATGATTGGCTGTTGAAAAAATTACTTCTTTGCACACTTAAAATAATAAATGGCTATCAAAATATACAATAAATAAAACATTCATCATAATTATGAACTTATTTATTTGCAACTTCCATCATACGTGACTAGTAGTTCTTATAATTTAAAAATATATAAGGAAATAATATATTAATCAAAAATTGTTCAAAGATAAAACTTGCGCACAAATAACATATATCAGTAAGGAATAAATTTAAAAAAATTTTGGAAAAAATTAGATGTTTCCGAAATTGAGTTGATTTTCTAAAGATCTAGCCCGTGGTACAGATCAATTTTTATCAAATTATTAAAATTTTGCTGAAACTTCGTAAATAGCTTCATCTCATCGTAACCTACAAATATTTTATTTACGAAAATTCTCGGAATCGGGGCGTTTTCAATCTGGAAGTCGGCAAACTTTGTCCATTTAATTAGGTAATAAAAACTCGTAAATACCCATTTACTTTCCACTTTAATCGTAAGATAACTTGAGAACAAAGTCGAGAAAAAATGGGGCTTTCAAAAATGTAGAGCCGACCCCCAAATTGACAAAACAACGAGGTTATATAGGCCAAAGGACTCGATATTTTTGAAGGCCATCTTTTTTCTCGACTTTGTGTTCAAGTCATCTTAGGATTAAAATAGGAAAGGAAATGGGTGTTTACGAGCCTTTAGTATTTAATTAAATATTCAAAGTTTGCCGACCTCCAGATTGAAAACGCCCCAATTCCGAGAGTTTCCTTAAATAAAATATTCGTACGTTACAATAAGATGAAGCTATTTAATAATTTGATAAAATGGGCTCTGTACCACGAAACAATCACTTTGAATAATTATCATCGATTCAATATAGTTGCTTTTTTATGCAGATATAAAGTAAAAATCCAGATGTATGACTCACAAAATTCTAATATATGTTGCTACAAATTAACTATCTATAATACGTGGTAAATAGAACGTGATAAAATATTTGCGTACTTTCATTAATTTCTTAATTGATTTTATTTTACATATTTTATTCATTTATGTAGATTAGTTGTTATTGATTTTTTATTTCATTTTTGTATTTCGAAATGTTGGCGCGGTGAAGCGATATTCTTGTTCCACTAATATTTTTATAAGAGCAGGGAGAAAGGGAAATCCTTACTAGTCTGTGGGCCAGACCCCCTTACCGTGCACCCCCCCCCCCACATCCCTATATATTGCATATCGTTGTGTTCCTTGTGACAATTTATTAAAAAAAAGCCAATGTTCCCGCAAAAAAAAGTGAACGAACTGCCCCAAAATGGCGTCCAAACATGGCGGATTGACGACTTTGACTTTAGTTAGTTTTTTTGTTACTGAGAATCAGCATTTGGCTTAATTTCATTATAGTTGGTCTTTTATTAAAGCTGGATAGTCAGAGAATAATAAAACATGAAAAAATATTAAAAACTAAATGGCTTAGGCATTAAAAAAAATCGGTAAAGTCAATTTTTTTTACAAAAAAATTTTCAAGTTGAAAATCAAGCGTCGTTTGTAATTAAACGGTCAACAATAATGCAAAACGTGCTGAAATAAAACATCTGGAGAATACATTTCTCTTTCTAAAACACTGATTACTTTTTAAAATATTTGAAGTAGTTCCGTATAAAATGTACTTAAGCGGCAGAAAAGCGCTACTGGCGTGGGTGCCTACAGGCCTCTACCACACCACTCAGTACTCATAAATGGCTTAGTTATAGTGCTATAATGACGTTTTTGTTATATTTTATTGATTATATTAACGAACGAATATTAATACAATAATTTAATTGTAAAAAATTATTTTTTTTTAAATTTATTATTTTTGTTTTTATTTTTCATTATTATTTTTTTTTTTAATTTAACTTCATTTATTCTATACGGAGATCGCTTAAGAAGGCCTCTATTATAAAAATTATAAAATTATAATAATAAAACTTAATTCAAAAATACTTTGCAAAATATCTTGATTTTTTTATGTAATATTTGCAATTTAACATTTTGTTTTATATATTTACTGATTCTTAGAGGTAATTTAAATTGTATATACTTTCCCGGAAATGAGTCATATTAATATCTGTTTTTTAAACTAAAATAATATACACCTAATCTGAACTGCTTTTAATGAATAGGTGATGGATTGTTTAGTAAAATTGTTATATCGCTATTAAAAAAATTATTTTTATTTCCTTTATTTTATTCGGAAGTTGGACCATATCATAAAAAATTGGAACTTTTAATATTAAAGTGCATTATTCCCTCTCCACAAAAGAAATATGGAAAGGGCGAAGCTAGAAGTTCTTCTAGGTAACTGGAACTGATTGTTAGTATTTGGTCTCAAAATGAGGGAAAACGCGAAATTGAACCCAAACATTGGAAAAATACATTAAGCGAACGACAGTGCCAAAATTTCGAAAAAAGAAAACAAGGATCAGTATCCATTATATGGCTAAACGAATATATAGTAGACAGATGAACAGAATATTTCAAGATGCTGCTAAAAGAGGGTAAAAATGCTTGATGGGTTTGGATGATGTTAAGCGGGTTTATTATGGTGAAGAACACTTTATCAGCAAGAAAGATTTGCTCTATGCAATTGGCAAGCAGGTCTGGAGGAAGTAAACCAGGTTGATAATGGTGTAAACCACTTTATTTTAGATTGCTTTTGAAGTTGTACATTGGGACTATCTTCACTTTGAAGCAGGTTATACTGAGGTCTATCGATAAAAGGAAATAGCTCTGCTCCTGTTTAGTGCAATTGCAAAAGATTTTTGAAGGAATCTGAAAGGAAAACCAGCTTTTGTGAAAGACTAGTAGATATTCGATCAATCCAAAGTGTGAGGCACTAAGCAGATAGAGAACCATTTTTCTTTCTCTGTGGACTTCTCTATAACCTACCTTAAAGTGAAGACAGTCCCAATTTGCAACTTATGTTCCACCTTATGTGCACCTTGAGTTTCTCAATCCATATCGCTCAGTACGCACAGCATTTCGGGTTACTTCTTCCAGACCAGCTGACTTGCCACTTGCTTAGAACAAATCTTTCTTGCTGATGAAATGCTCTTCACCATAATAAACCTGCTTAATATCATCCAAACTGATCAAGCATTTTTACCCCCTTTTAGCAGAATCTTGAAATATTCTGTTCATTTGTCTACTATATATTCGTTTAGCCATATAATGGATACTGATCCTTGTTTTCTTTTCCGAAATTTTAGCACTGTCGTTAATGTATTTTTCCAATGTTTGGGTTCAATTTCGCGTTTTCCCTTATTTTGAGACCAAATACTAACAATCAGTTCCAGCGATACGGATTGAGAAACTCAAGGTGCACATAAGGTGGAACATAAGTTGCAAATTGGGACTGTCTTCACTTTAAGGTAGGTTATAGAGAAGTCCACAGAGAAAGAAAAATGGTTCTCTATCTGCTTAGTGCCTCACACTTTGGATTGATCGAATATCTACTAGTCTTTCACAAAAGCTGGTTTTCCTTTCAGATTCCTTCAAAAATCTTTTGCAATTGCACTAAACAGGAGCAGAGCTATTTCCTTTTATCGATAGACCTCAGTATAACCTGCTTCAAAGTGAAGATAGTCCCAATGTACAACTTCAAAAGCAATCTAAAATAAAGTGGTTTACACCATTATCAACCTGGTTTACTTCCTCCAGACCTGCTTGCCAATTGCATAGAGCAAATCTTTCTTGCTGATAAAGTGTTCTTCACCATAATAAACCCGCTTAACATCATCCAAACCCATCAAGCATTTTTACCCTCTTTTAGCAGCATCTTGAAATATTCTGTTCATCTGTCTACTATATATTCGTTTAGCCATATAATGGATACTGATCCTTGTTTTCTTTTTTCGAAATTTTGGCACTGTCGTTCGCTTAATGTATTTTTCCAATGTTTGGGTTCAATTTCGCGTTTTCCCTCATTTTGAGACCAAATACTAACAATCAGTTCCAGTTACCTAGAAGAACTTCTAGCTTCGCCCTTTCCATATTTCTTTTGTGGAGAGGGAATAATGCACTTTAATATTAAAAGTTCCAATTTTTTATGATATGGTCCAACTTCCGAATAAAATAAAGGAAATAAAAATAATTTTTTTAATAGCGATATAACAATTTTACTAAACAATCCATCACCTATTCATTAAAAGCAGTTCAGATTAGGTGTATATTATTTTAGTTTAAAAAACAGATATTAATATGACTCATTTCCGGGAAAGTATATACAATTTAAATTACCTCTAAGAATCAGTAAATATATAAAACAAAATGTTAAATTGCAAATATTACATAAAAAAATCAAGATATTTTGCAAAGTATTTTTGAATTAAGTTTTATTATTATAATTTTATAATTTTTATAATAGAGGCCTTCTTAAGCGATCTCCGTATAGAATAAATGAAGTTAAATTAAAAAAAAAAATAATAATGAAAAATAAAAACAAAAATAATAAATTTAAAAAAAAATAATTTTTTACAATTAAATTATTGTATTAATATTCGTTCGTTAATATAATCAATAAAATATAACAAAAACGTCATTATAGCACTATAACTAAGCCATTTATGAGTACTGAGTGGTGTGGTAGAGGCCTGTAGGCACCCACGCCAGTAGCGCTTTTCTGCCGCTTAAGTACATTTTATACGGAACTACTTCAAATATTTTAAAAAGTAATCA